TCGAACCTGGGACCTTTCAGTCCGCAGGCCGACGCTCTATCCACTGAGCCAAACCGGTTTTGGCTAGAATTTCTTTTGTTCTGCACTTTTCACAGTGTCTTCCTTGAATTCTTTTGGTTGCAATTGATAGGAGTATCATAGTTAGCTAAAGACTTTTCTGCAAGTGTGACCTGGAGCATATTTCTTAATCTCTTGGGCCAGTTTTCTCATCTGTAAAATGGGTACAATAGAATTCCTATCCTGTAAAATTGTTCTAAGAATTAAGCCAGATGTGATATGTAAAGCACTTATCCTGGTGTTTACTTATAGTTACTACCATAAAAATCAATGTGTTTGGTTATGATTACTATTGATCACCTCAGTCCTAGAGTCCCCCTACTGGTGCCATCTATTTAGGATCCACATTTTGCTTTTGTTTTTGCTTCATGGGGAATGTTTTGGAAATCTTTAAACTGTTTTTCACTTTCAAAATCTATTCAAGATTGTTGTCTTACTAAGTAAGCTGATTAATGGCCCCTTTGTTCTGGATACTAGCTGACCTCCAGATTGCATACTGGAGTGTCTTCTCTGTGCCACACATCCAGGACTTATAATTGCATTAGATGGTGTGAAGGTGAGAAGGAATTATCATCACAGTATCCCTAAGATGTGTGAGATAGCACAGGTATTTCATGGGCTCTCATTCCTTACTTCTTAGCCTAGTTCCTACTCTTAACATGGGACCCCCCCCCCCTTATTATGTGTATATCCTGTATATCCCACTCTACAGGGGGCATTAGGTCCAGGTTCAGCTTCTCCCAGAGGACCTACTCATTCATAATCTCTTATTGACTCTAGAAATTCAGGGGTATACACACTTCTTGAATTTTCTCCCCATATAGTCCACTTATGGAGGATGCAGACATGCAATCCTGTGCATTTTTAATACAATGTGACACATTTTGTTATACAACTAGGTACAGTATTTTATGAGAGCACAGCGCAAGGGTGTCTCATTTTGCTTGGAGGGCCAAAGGGGGATTCTAAGAGTAGTGAAACCCTAGTTACGGATTAAAGATAATTAAAGCAAATGGGATGTATACTCTTCAAAGATAAATTTTCAGTGAAAAGCAGGACCTTATCTCTCATAATTACCATTGTATCCTTATTGCCTAGCTCAGAATCTAGCATATTGTACACACTTAAATATTTATTGCATCAGTGAATGAATGATTTTTTCTTAAAGGTCATCAGAATTGGTCATTTTGAGCAGGAGTACAACATGATAAAATTTGTGTGTGTTTTTAAAAACCTAATATCACAGCTTTGTAGTAGATATAAAAATTATAGTGAGACAGGGAGCAATTATGGATAGCATATTCTATGAAATACCTGAGATAGATTCCTTTTAAATGACCCCCAGTCTTCCTCCAGATAATAAGAGATTCTCTGTACTCATACATTGAATGTATGGTCATTTCCCACATATGCCTCAAGAAGGCACAACCCCTGCCTACATCCACCCCTTAAAAATCCCATGAAAACTCAGAGATAACTTATAGCATATTTAAGAGTTCCCTTCTCAACACCTTCCACACAGGAGATAGACAGCTGGGTATGATCTATTGCATATACAGTATATACATGTTTGTCTTAGTATGCATGGGTTGCTATAACAAAATACCATAAATTGGATGGTTTATAAAAAACAGAAGTTACTTCTCACCGTCTGGAGCAGTGGTTCTCAACCTTCTGGCCCTTTAAATACAGTTCCTCATGTTGTGACCCAACCATAAAATTATTTCGTTGCTACTTCATCACTGTAATGTTGCTACTATTATGAATCATAATGTAAATATCTGATATGCAGGATGGTCTTAGGTGACCCTTGTGAAAGGGTCCTTCGACCGCCAAAGGGGTCGCGACCCACAGGCTGAGAACCGCTGGTCTAGAGGCTAGAAAGCTTGCATTCAAGGCACCAGCACATTCAGTGACTGGGAGAGCCTGCTTTCTAGATGGGTGTCTTTCTGCTGTGAGCTCACATCATGGAAGGAGCTAGGGAGCTGTGTGGGGTCTCTTTTACAAGAGCATTAACCTCATTCATAAGGGCTCTACCTCATGAAGGAAGCACCTGTCACAGGCCCCACCTCCTAATACCATCCCATTCGGCATTAGGTTTCAACATAATCTATTTTGGGAGGACACAGATGTTCAGTATATTACCTGTGGCATATGGCATAGTACCTTACTTGTATTTCTCATTCAGAGTGGGTCCATGCATTTTCAACGTTGGCATTGGTAATCTGGAGTCTGTTTGGTTAATGAAACTTAGCACCTAAGTGATACTTGTTTTTAGAGTGAAAGTCTCAAGAGAAGTCAATAAAATACATGCAGAATCCTCAGTTTCTGTATACATAAGTTTTCTGTCAGGGTGCATAAAATTATCAAAAACTTAGTGGCTTAACACAATGCCCAATATTAGCTCAGAGTTCATGCATGACCAGCATGGCTTGGCTGGGTTCTTTGCTCAGGGAATCACAAGGTTGAAATCATGGTTGTCCAGGCTGAGTTCTTGTCTAGGCTCTGGGAAAAATCCATTTCCAAGTTTATTCTTGTGGGTGGCATTCAGCTCTTTTTAAGACTGAGGTTTTCTTTCCTTGCTGGTTGTCACCTAGGGGTGCCTATAGTTCCTTGAGGCTGGCTATATTCCGTGTGATCTGCTTTATCCTGAAGCCAGCAATGGTGTGTCAAATACTTCTAATGCCTGAAATCTCCATCTGCCTCTGTCTTTGATCTCTAAACCAAGATTTAAGAGTATATGCGATTGCATTAGACTCACCCAGATAATCTCCCTGATTTTTGTTTTTGTGTGTGTGTGTTTAAATATATGTTTTTTTTACTGATTTCAGAGGAGAAGGGAGAGGGAGAGATACAAACATCAATGATGAGAGAGAATCATTGTTCGGCTGACTCCTGCAAACTCCACACCGGGAATCAAGCCTGTAACCTGGGCATATGCCCTGATAGGGAATCAAACCATGACCTCCTGGTTCATAGGTCAATGCTGAACCACAGAGCCATGCCAACTGGGGCTCTCCCCGTTTTAAAGTCAACTATGTTGTGTAATATAGCCTAATCCTGGCAGTAAAATCCATCATATTCACAATTCTGGGAATTATGCAGAACACATTTATCAATAGGGGGGATTTTGAGGGCATCTTAAATTCTACCAACCAAACTGTTAGGGGAATCAAAAAAAGCTCATATCCTCGCTTCCCAAAAGGTCCCGTTATGTCGCTTTGCTTTTACAAAAGACCTACATTAGTACAATAACAGTTTATAAAAGCAAAGATCTTTAGAGTTTTCTTAGAGTTAGCATTACGCCATTTCAGCTTATAAAAGGTTTCATAGGAACTGACTACTTTTGGATGAAGGGGGTGTAAAACTCCTGCATATGAATTAATCAATATTTTGTTTGAAAACTATACATCTTTTAATGAGGTTAATTTTCTAACATCTGATCCTGACAGATCTTCTATTACTTATCTTTAAAAATATTACATGTATGCAACTCCGTTACTTATAAGTAGTACTACCATTCACATTGCCTAAACAAAACATATCTATATCTACTAGTATTATGGGAGAGGAGCTTTCCTTGTTTGTGTAAGGAAAAATAAAGTGATGGCATACAATCTATACACAGACATCATCCCTTCAAAGTGATTTTTTTTTAACATGGAAGCTTTGTTAAAGTTCACCTGATACAGTAAGATTTTTAGATTTAAAGAAGGAAGGTGTAAGAATTTCACCAACTTCACAGTTACTTAACTACAAAGTTTGAGGGAGCCAGTCCTCCCTACAAGACCACCCTCACTTCTCACACTAATTGCAAGTTTGAGGGGTTTCCAAAACCACTCTCGGGTTTGACAGTTTGCTTGAAGTATTCACAAAATTCAGCGAAAGCTGTTATGCTCATAGTTAAAGTTTATTACAGGGGAAGAATACAGATTGAAACCAGCCAAGAGAAGTGTGTAAGACCGAGTCTGAAGCTCCAGGAATCAACAACAGAGCTTTCATTGTCCTCTCCCCATGGAGTCTGGACCTGTTACTTTATCGGCACTGAGATGTGACTATATGCATGGAGCGTTGCCAACCCAGGAAGCTCCAGTGAGACTTTGGTGTCCAGATTTTTTAATGGGACTTGATCATATACAGCCCACATGGCTGACCTTTAGTCTCCAGCCTGGATGTCAGTGTTGGGCTGATACCCTTAGTCTCCAGATGCTTCTGGAGGCAAAATTGATGTGCACAGCCCAAAGCCCCAAGCCCCCATCATCAATCATATTGTTCAACTGTCCCCTGGCCAAAGCTTTCAGGCAAAGACACTCCTATCAGGAATGGCATTTTTAGGGCCCAGAGATCTTCCCCCAGTAGCTGCAGGCAAAAGCAAGACCTCTGCTTGGTTAAGGTTAACTCTTCACTACACGGACAGGGAGGGAGAGAATGACGAATGAGTACAAATTGTAGTTATCATTTATGGAGGGTATGCTGTGTGTCAGGCAGTGTGCTGAGCCCTGTTTCCTATACTCCTTGGAACATTATTAGAAAGATACTATAATTATCATTATTTTAAAGACAAGATGAGATTTAGAGAGATTAAGTGACCTTTTAAGTAGTAAATGATGGAAGGAGGATTTGGACCTGTCAGCCTAATTCCAAAGTTCATGATCTCAAACATTTTATTCCTTCCACTGAAACTAAGACAATAAGAATATATAATGTAATAAGCACTTAGGAGCAATTATTTTTGAGAATTGAGTCTTCCGAGTAAAGTTGTCATTCAAATGTATAAGAATGTGCACTGCTACTGTAATAATGTAGGATATACTAGTAGAGGAAGAGTGTTGATATGTAGGATGGTTATTTCATTGAATTTCTTACCTTCTAAGTGGAATCCAGTCAGCACTGTGTCATTTAACTAAGTCAAACACATTTATTGGGTGTGTATTCTATCCCAGGTGCTGTGCTGGCCTCTGGTAACCCAAAGATGATGAAAAATACGTTCCTGCCTGCAAGGAGCTAGCAATCTACTAGGGTATGTAAACCGTATTTTATTATTTTTAATATTACATTTGTTTTACGCAAAACAGAGAGCTCGATATGCAATAAATATTTTGTCTACAAATTTTGAAAGCTTTGGCACAAATTTTTTGACTGGATGAGCTAATGCCCAAGAGTTGATAATTTGGAGATGGTTGTGCATGTAACCAAATCAAATAATTAAACCCACTTTCCGTCTTTTGGAGATTCTGTAAAAATAGGATAGATTTTAAAAAAGTAAGACTACTCTAGAAAAACACACACACACAAAGCACTGGGATTTGTGTGTATTTCCCATTTACACTGGTAAATGTCCACAGGTGAAGGGAGGAAAATGCCAGAGCACATCACACATAGCAACAGTGTGCATTTCTTCTTCACACTTATCACAGGGACTATTCTGATTGTTATTGGTTACTTTAGTGACAATTGTTATCTTTACTTCTCTTACTTCATTGACTTCTCCAGTTGAGTAAAGTCCGTATTGGGATAAATAAGACTGTTTAGTTTGATTGTTGACAAATATGTATTTTATTTGAGTAATAACTTATAGTTTATGCTTGCAATAGACCATGTGGTATTCTGCGAGTAGTCCTGAAGATTTAAATACAGTAAATGTAGTAAATGTAAAGAATAAAAATTATATCCTAAAGATACTTTATATTTTTTATAGCTTAATATAGAGGAATAAAATTAGAAAATAAAATAATAAATTTAAGTGATCTTGATGTCCAATAGTTCATACTGATGCTATGCAGCCCTAGCAACATTATATTTGGACATAGTTAATAAGTATATTAATATGCTATCTAGAGAAACTATTATAACTGCTGAGGATAGAGTTATGATCATTTTGAAAATGTGAGCAAACCAGGAAATAACATGTCCTTTTTCTTGGCAATATGATTTTAATTTCTCAAACCATTTAATTGTATAAACCATATCCATCATCCTTGAATAGATAAATGTTGTGGCAATTTTTGAATGAACCTCTTGGTTCCCTAAAGAAATTATGGATACACTATAAATTTACAAATGAAAGGCCATTCATCAGAGTTATAAATATAAGTGGTTCCTGTGCTGATGCCCATGTAAACTTAAAGTGGTTTAATATCTATCAGCTTTTATCCATAGTTTATATGGTAAAAGAATATAGATATTGTCAAACTTACATGGTGCAATAACATTGGGAAAATGTTGAGAACAACATGTAATATTTTTTGAATAGCATGGCATTTCCTTGAATTACTGCTGGCAATGGAACATAAATCAACCTTTATGATGGATATTCCAAAGGTATTTATTAATCAATTCATTTAATCGAAATACTTACTCTTGTCATGCATAGAGCTGGTTCAAGGAAAGTGGAAAGTGCTCCTAAACCCTTGCAGTTATTTTAGGGGCTTCATAATTATGTCAATTAAGTCTGTTTGGAATGAAAATCAAAAATTTTTATCAAGCTAAAAAATTATTTTCTCCTAATTCATGGTAAAGATGTTTGCTAGACCATAAAATATTTTCTTGTATCTAATCAATATCTCCATTTGTTTTACCCTTGATAGCTTTCTCTTTGAATCTTCAGTTTTTAATGTTTGTTCCCCTCCTTCACATGCTCCCTCCCTCTCTCCCTCTACTGGAAAATAATCCTGCATTGTGTAAACTTTGACTGAAATGGCCTGGGAAAGTGACCACATTTTTGTGTACCAAATTAAGACATAGCATATGGCATAAGATTTTGACAATATGTAATGAGATTAAAGACAGGTAGAATGGACTAGAATGGACGTAAGTAAAGCATAAAGATAGGGGACTTGTAATAGACCTGATGCCCAGTACATGAAATTCGTGCACTGGCAGGGTCCCTAGTGACTGCCTGCTGCTGGCTGGGTACTCCCTCCCTTTCCCCAAGCCGCCTGCCGCCACTTCCACCACCACAGGGGGCCAGGGCTTCCCTCCTTTCCCTGGCTGGCCCCGCCCCTTGGTCGAATTCCTGGATGAACTCCCGGTTCCAGGGGACAGTTTGCATACTATGCTTTTATTATATAGGATAGGAAAGGTCAGAGAAAGCCAGTAACAGTTAAGTGAAGAAGTCAGCTATGTAAATGTTGTGCAGTAACATGCTATGAGTGTATATGTGCATGTGTATGTGTATACTTGTTTATGAAAATATGGAAAGTCAAGGCAAAGAGCTAACTTCTAGGTTAAAATAATGTAATCAGGACTCAATTTCTCTCCATCTCTCAGCTTCCATGCATACAGCTTCAGTCTCTGGCTCCATTTGGGAGCAAGATGGTGGCAGTAGCATTGCTTCAACTGCAGCATCCCCTCAGGCTTCAGATCAAACAGGAAAAAGAGAGAGTGTCTTTCTCAGAGGCCCTAAAATTCTCTTTATACTAATTTGCTTTGATTTGATCATAGACTCATCCAAACATACTTCTATTGGAGCAGGGGAGAGAGTCTGCTTTGTAATTTTCCATGGACTAAGGGTTAAATCCCAGAGGGAAATGGGGTACTGGTAACTGAAAGAGGGTCCGTGGATGCTGGGTAGCAGAAAAGAATGGTTTGCTTTCCACCATGGGTATATACATATTAAATGCTGCCTAGAATTCAGAAACTTACAGATTTTCTAGCAATCCATGGATTCTAGGTTAAGAAACTCTAAAAGTAACGCTGAATCAATGTCTTCTGGAACAAATAAAACACAGCATTGATACTTATAGCCATCCAAGAAAATGAATTGTTATTGAGATTGTTTCTTGAGGAAAAGAGTCAAAACAAGTATAAACCCATACAGCTAGTTGTTTAAATGAGAATATCAAAGTAAGAATGAAAAGGAAGTTGTTTTTTGTTAGCTGAAGTGGAAAAGTGTGGTTCAGCCTGAAGGTATTTCTTTACTGTCATTTTGTATAAGGAAATGAGGCAAAATCTTTGATATACGGTAAGAATTTTATACCAGCAACATCAGAAGACTTCCATTAGGAAAAAAGAGATACGTTTTCCAGTGATGGTTCAACAACTTTTATGGCTTTGGGAGTCTGAGTTTCTATGCATCTTAACCCTCTAGTTAAGTCAGTTCAGTTAAAAAAGTAATAATTGGGTCTATGAAAGTAATTTGTAAAGGAAGTCTCTTTTTTTTTTTTTTTTTTTGATAATTGGTCCAAACTACTTGTTGATTAGCTGACTTTTAAAAAAATTAGCCATATTTTATTTTGGATCATGTTGGTGAAGTAGTTATTTTCCTAAAAAATATTTTTACTTTAGAAGTGTAGAGAGAATGGGTAGAAAGCATAAGTCAATCATAGGAAAATGCAGATACTGTAAAAATGCCCACACAGTGATTGTGTAGTTTTCATTAATATTGGAGGGAAAGTAACCTTTTAACAATGTGAAGGTTAGAGTAGCAGCCACAGAGGTAGTAGTCATAATGTGACCTGCGTTCATGTTACATAGATTGCTCAGTTTATTGACCAATAGGAGATAGCCTGGGATTTTAAGTTGCCTCGCTGAGCACAAGAGTTTTCTTCTTAAGTGATTCAAAATGCCACTCAATAATGGGAAAGAGTTCTGTGATTACCAGAAACATTTAAAGAATAAACAAGTTAAATGAGGAAAGGTTCACTGTGTCATCTTGTCTTTCTTCACACAAACAAAAACCTCCTGCAGTTAACAAGGTTCCTTCCTCCTGAGTGGATAAGCTTTCTAACCAAAATCTATTCATGGCTAAAGTGACTTGTCACTGCCTCTTAAGTTTAATACTCTTAGTTGAGAAAATGTATATTTTTCCTACCAATTAATGCCACCGAAATTCAGTTAATTTGGAGGATGTCCTGTTTTCAAAACATTTCTACAAAAGCCATTGTGTATCTGACTTTCCAGATTATTATGTTGCTTTTAAAAAATCTTCTCCCGAAAACATCTGTTCACCACCAATTCTCAGTTCAGTTGGGAAGTCCAAGGTCTGTTATTACTCTATATATGTATGGTTTCTGTTGTGTTTTGCTTTCTAGATTACAACGCATCCTTACACAGTATCAATGAACTTTGCCTAAGAAACAGCATGTAGTTCATTCATTGAAAACTGGTATATAGATCTTCCTGCTATACATTTCTCTCTGTTTTTCAGATTCCATTTTAATTTTTACCAAGCTAGGGAGTTGCTCCTCTCCATAGTAATACTTATCATCAATATAGCTTTCAGAAGTGGGGTTTTATTTTTAAAGAAAAAATCTTGTATATAAGAAAAATTTTTAGCTAGAAGAAATCAATGGATATTGTTAAGGCTGGAAGAAAATTTCTCTCCTGTAATCCTTTCTAAAGACAGAAGATAGAGGGCCAAAATACTGTTAAGAGAAATCCAAAATATATTTTCCTTATATGATGTCCAATTCAGCTATGTAGGTGTGAGTTTCAGATAAGATTAAATGCTTTTACAGATGTGAACTGTCAAACCATTCCCTCTTATTAATTTTAAGGGCTTTTTAGGGAGAGGGAATGGGTTTAATTCAGGACTCCAAAGCATGGGTTTCTAAAGACAGTTGCCTTTCTGAGTAGGGAGTGGACATACGGAGAAAATCCACATGCATATTTGCGTTTCACTTTTGAACTCTTGATAGCTTTGGTCACTGATTGAGATTTTTCTCCAACTAGGAGTCGAAGACCCAAGTAGGTAATCTACATAATTTTTCCCAGGTTTTCTAAAAGTGCCTGTACATGAAAGCATGTCAGATAACTGGTCAAATAGGGCCTTCAGGTTTTCTCTGTTTGTTTGTTTTAAATCCATTCTTTACTGAGAAGAAATAAAAGAAAGCCCGAGGTTGGTGACAGACTTGGGTTCTTGCCACATTCCCAGCTTACTCTGTGGCCGGCTCTCTACTTCAGAGAAAGTTAAAACTTTCCAGAGATGTTCCATAGGTATTCTAAATCATTCCACAGACACCTGCTCCTTTATATGGACATGTTATCCACCTAGGATGAATCAGAGCTGATTTCTTTTTT